AAAAACATATACCATGATAAATTTGAAGGTGCACCTTACCTCTACAGCTATGGATGCATCAGTATGCCAACTGCACCCTTTATATATCCTTAATATTATTCCTATCTTTTTTAAAAGATGAACCTTGGAAAATTCCATGTAAATTATATTAACTCCCCATTTTATAAATTTCACAGCTTGAAAATTTAAATAATTTAATGGGTGGGTTGATTTTTTACTGGCTCGGTGACCAGTGACATGTAAAGTTGGGCCGAGTTTTCATATAGTTTTCTTGGGTATTTCCAACAACCCCCTTTTAAGAATATTTTGATATAGAAAACTTTTCAGTTTTCCAATGATAATTTGAGCTACTTAAAAATTTTCGGCTCACAAGTTTCTCAATTCCCAACTTCTAGAACTCATAACTGATTTTCTAAACTACCTACTTCGGCATTTTTTTTATCAGTCCCTTCGCTGCTACATTTTCAGCTACCTCGCAATTGTTCCAAGGCATTTTTCAACCCATTTTTAAAAAAAAAAAATTTGACTATATATTAATAGTAGAACATTATTATAATACATTAAAAAATGCCTTGAAAAAAATCCCTCGCATTTTGCAACTCGGTTTTGGAAACCAGTTCTCAGACCACAAAAGTGCCCTTAAAGCTACAACCCTAATTGCACACCTAACACACAAATCTTTAGAAAACTACAGTGGGAAGAGCACTCAGCCATTAACGCAGCACAAATGACACCTCTTCTGAACAACAGCATTTGTATAATAAATTCTGATATTGTCATAATTCTCTAGTATGATCTCAGTGGTCTGTTACAAAATTTTCTTCTATAATAGAATTTACAAATTGGCACATGACTGCTTTTACTGAAGCTGGCACATGACTACTTTTACTGAGCCTATACTCTGTCATATTCATCCCAAATATGAATAAACAACTCAAACCCTTTCGCCGTAACTTTCTTAGCCATAGTTCTCCTGACCCATACCGAACACCAAGCCCCTAAGAAAGTTCTCCTGACCCATACCGAACACCAAGCCGCTAAGAAAGTTCTCCTGACCCACACCAAACACCAAGCCACGAGAACAAACTCACTGCACGTTGAGAACTTGGATGAAAATGAAAACAAAAACTTCCTCCATTAATTCCATCAATGAGTGTTTCAGAGTCAGGAATCATAATCGTTCCCAATAATCTATCCTCTTCCAACCTTCTCTAGAGCAAGAAGTCATATACCAAGTATTAAATTTATTCAAGGATTCCATGGAGCATGGAGATTTCAAGAGATTTCCAATGAAAAGTTCCCACACAAAATAGGTCATGCTTATCGACTGCGAAAACTACACAGACATTTAGAGAGAGAGAGGAAGAGAAGAAACAGTTGTTTATTTATGGAGTCAGTGAAAGGATATAACACGAACCCGTATAAACATTGCTTGTCCATGTCTATGGAAACACATAGCTTCTGATGACGAACAACAGCTCCTGAATTCTCAGGTTTTTGCTCCCCATTCTTCTGCTTCCGGGGCTTCGCCATTTCAGCATTAAGCTCAGCCAAACCCTCTCCCTATAACCCTCCCTCTCTCTCTCCCTCACTCTCTCTCTAA